AGCCCTGGGCCCGGGCTCCGGCTAGGCGCACGTGTTTGGGGGTGAGGGAACAGGCAGTGCCTGCTCAGTCTCCCGCTTCACTCCTGGGACAGGTGACAGGCTCCAGCACCTGGATTTGCAGCCAAGACCCTCGCTCCAGAGCGCAGGATCGGTCACTGTCACACGAGGGCGGGGAAATCCTCCAGCCCCACCGTGGGTGCGGGAGCACCCGCTTCAGAGGCACCCGGGTGGCAAGGAGCACCCAGCAAACTGCAGGCGCTGCCCGGTATTTTTCCACCCCGGCAGGTCGCTCGCTGTCCCATCCCTGCTCCTGCTTAGCCCTCTGCACCTCCCAGCCCGGACCCACAGGGCGGGAGAGCGATGCCAGCACTCGCAGACAGAGCTGCCGCTTGCGTGTGCATGCCTTCGCGCACACGCAGGTGCCAGGACAAGCACACGCCACCCACACGCCTGCCTCGGGGTGACAAGATCCTGGGCTGCCCCGTGCCAGCCTCGGGGGGTAGTATCAAAACTGCTATCCCTCCAGAAGCTGGACCCTGCTGACTGTCACAGCCCACCCTACTGAAGACACAGCCTCTCTGCAGCTGGAGTCCGGGGGGAAGGTGGCCAGGGAGAGCTGGATCCTCAGCCAGGAGGAGGTGGAAGCGCTGGGGAAGGCCTTGCCTTGATTTATCGCCCATCTCAAGAGCCAGGTCCCCACCTTCCCTCCAGGGCCAACCTGGCTCATTCTTGCAGCAGCTCTTAGTGTGTGTTAATCCCCCGAGGCTGTCCAGGACCAAGGTGAAACTCAGGCGCTTTTTACCTCCTCACAAGGCAAAGCCACCAAGCGTTACCACAGAAACTGCCTTCCCCCAGTACCCCAGTTCCTGCACCCTATGCATGGAGCAAACACAGAAACAAACGCTGTGTTTTACCCATAAGAATTAGCTCACGATCCCATATTCAGACCAAATTCAGCTGCAGTCACCTGAATGTAACGGCTCAGCTTAAAAAAAAAAAAAAAAAAAAAAAGAGGCAGGAGCTGGTGCTGAGACCCAGTCAGGCCAGGAGAGACCCAAAATAGCTCCCGTAAAGGGGAGCTGTCAAGCCCCAGGCAATGTAAGGCCACGCCCAACCCTTTTCCCTAGCTTTGCAGAGAGGGTTTGTTTAACCAGGACACTGACAGCTCCGATTGCTCCAAATTCTTGGAAATGCGATTGCTACCTGCAAATTTCCCAGAAACTTTGGCCATCGGAGGTGGCTGCAAACAAGCCCAGGGTGTTTACAGGTTACAGGTGGAAGTCCCTGTGGCGTGGAGTGACCCTCATGCCACCCCAGCCTCGGGACCGAGCAGCTCCCTTCTCACCCGCTGAGCTCCGAGCAACCCCGAAAGGGAAGGGGGGAGCACAGGCAGCTTGGCGATGTCAGCAGCTCCTCTCCATCCAATACATGCATCCCGGCCGGCCAGCCCCTGCCCGGGAGAGAGCCCCAGGGCGGGCAAGGGTTTCAGGCCTGGGGCGGGAGGATGTGGCTCCCTGCCCCGGGGAGGTTTGGGGGCAGTCCCATGCCCGCCCCCTCTCCCTGCACATGTTTACGAGCCAGCGG